TCTCTGTGATTTATCATAACATTTTGTGTATATTTCCCTGTGCTATACAGTGTAATCTTGTTTATCTATTCTACAATTTCCGTTTCCCCTTTTGGCAGGTGAACCCCTCCTTCCAGTTCTGTGCCGCTTCCAACTGAAACTGTGGGTGTGAGATTGGGTCTCCTCCCAAGCAACCACCCTGGTGCCCTGGCTGTACCGGCGGGTTTACGATCTGCCTCCCAGGGGAGGGCAAGGCAACAGGAGTTCTGCTGGTGGCAGGAAGCTGGGAGAGGCCAGTTTATGTGTGGGCCTGCCTCTCACTCATGGTGCATTTCCTCTTCTATTATCTTAGAGCCATTCAGATGGTTGCCTGGTTGACTTTGATTTCTTTAAACAACTCTACCCTTTCAGGTTTATAAAAACAAATCAGGTTTATGACTGATTTAAGCCAGAAAATCCCCCGATGGGAAGATCCTTAATGAGATGCTCTAAAGAGCACCCTCTAGGAAGAGCTGGAATTAACTGATTACTTGCAAGGTAATTGAGCAAAGTCAATGGGAAGATGATGCCGTTTGTGGGAACTGAGCTATGCTGCACTAGACACACACAGAGAAGCATGTGAACGCACACAGACGACTGCTGGGGAGGTGGAAAGGCTGGCATTAGCCACAGGGGCTGGGATGTCTCAGGAGCCCCCACTCCTGTGTGACCTCGGGGGAGTCATGTCCTTTCTCATTCGTCTCTCTTCCTCCTGCGAGGGGCCACCTTCTCTGTGGGGGTGAGTGGTGAGCTGCAGAACGGCAGGAAGGCCTGGAGGAGGGTCCTGCTGTCCTCATGGACATTTAGTGGTCTCTCCCAGCCCTAAAACCCCATGGGATTCTCTGTTTTTGTGGCTGAGCTGAAGGTGTAGTGTGGAAGGATGTTCAAATTTGAAATTCTTTGAGCCCGGCAACTTTGCAATGTTTTAATTGTTATCACTGCAAATTTACAAATTCCACTATGGTTTCTTGAACAGATTGTTAAACTAATCTATATAAATATTCAGAAATGTGGAAACATGAACTGATAGCATTTTTATTACACTATGTCAGTAGTCTGTCTTTGCGGTATTTTTATAACATCTCATGCCGCAAAGGGCAGTTTTTACATCCACTATTATCTACTAACAGAAGAGACTTGAAGGCATCTTAGAAGTTACAGATTTTCTATTTCTTCCCCAGCATGCTACGATATGAGAGACTGTGTCACAAAGGATCATCTAGAATGTGAGCTGTAAAAGTCAACTGGCAGAAAACAGTTTAGGAAACTCACTGGAGCCGCCGGCTGCGGGTCAGGCACTCTGACACCTGACGTCAGCTGCAGCGCTATCTAAGCAAAGGAGAGGGCATGACTGAGCGGAACTGCCAGGCCACTTGGAATTCACAAGCTCTCTGGGATTTGGCACAAGGAACCTAAGTAACCTGTAATAGCGACCGGGATAACGGCAGCTAACATTTATCACGTGCTTAACTGTGTGCCAGACACTGTTTATCCTTAGACAAAGATTCAGCCCTATCCTTAGTGCCAGGCAGGCACTAATATCATCAGCCCCACTTTACAGGTGAGCACACTGAGGCAATGAACAGAAGTAACACGCCCAAGGTCACACAGCCACAAGTGAGGGGGCAGAGATCTGAATCCACACACAGCGTGTACTCTTAGCAATTACCCTAGTTGCTTTATTTGGAAGTAAAAATTATTAAAAATAAAAAATTACTTAAAAATGATTACAAAACTTTTTTTAAGCTTTTAAAAAGTTCAACAGTAAGGGATCTGGGCTGTGTTTTAATCTATAATCCTGATGACTCGATTTGTTTCTGTACTCACTAGTTTTTACTCCATACAAGTATTTTAAATAAATTTTGGGGTTATTTATTTTCTTCCCTGAATTTGAATAAAGAATAATTAGAAAATGCGAAGTATGAGACTGAGGTTCTTCTAGTCTTGGCTTTGCCATGAAATTACTGAGTGAATTTGGTTGAGGCCTCAGCTTCCTCCCGTTTATTAGCGGTTCCTTTTTTTAACTAACACAGTTCAGCGTGTGCGAAGTGTCATTCTGCGAACTTAAGAGACGCTGCCTGGAAGAGCAGATGGCTAGGGCCCGTGGCCAAGGGGCTGCTTTCTCCAGCCTGGCTTTAAGGGCTGCATGCTACAGCTCCTCCTCCGCATCTTGGCGATGCACCAGTCTAGGATGTCACAGAGACATGCTTGAGTTGGCCAGCACCCAGGATATTTAGAAAGAAGAAAATAAAAACCTAAGGATAATCATGTTCTCTTAAGTAATATTAAACAAAAGCATGTTATGCTGCTTCTAATTTCCTCTGAAAGCACTTCTCATATTTGCAAAGAGAATGACAACTTGAATGTGTCAGCCCGTCATCCTTCCCGATGTGATGTGTGGGCTGGTAGTTCATCACAAAATCATCCAGTTTATAGGAACCAGTTAAGTTTCAGTGCCAACTCTTATTCTCACGCAGCAAGATGCCAGCTAACCATGATGTGTATGTGTTAGTGTCCTGAAATTACAGTGATATTGTTATTCTAAGGTATTCAACGGAAGCAAAGGGTGGAAGGTCCTCATTAATCAGATGCATTCAACAATCCTATTGTTTAGGGAAAACAAGATGTGAATATTTCCGAAAATCGCTATTTTTAAGAAGTATAATCACTTCTGTTTTTTCAGTCTGCTGCGCAAATGCATGGAGACCATAAAGAGATTAATAAATTATTTGGTAACTTTCTACCCCAAACAGTATGGTTTCTTCCCCCAAATTATTTATTCATTTGCATATTCAAAACTACTTATCAGGGGCCTGCCAGGCACAAAGAACTTGAAAAGACAAATTCTCAATCTCTGCTATAAAATTGAAAAAAAAAAAGGTTTTGAAGGCCTACCAACCTCTGCAATTCTATTTTTTAAATATCAAGAAATAGTCATCTTAGTAATAATTGTGGTGTGTATTAAATGTGGATATTTATTAAATAGAATTGAAAACTGACTTGTTCGTTGTTGCTCTAAAAATGTCAGCTCCCGCCTCTGCCCCTCTCCTCCCCTTTGCAATGCAACTATGCCTTCAAATAGCATTCTTTAAAAGGCGGCTTTATGGCTTTGGAGGAAGAGGCTGATTTCACAGCCAGTTTTGCCACTGCTATGGAAAACAGAGTGCACATGCAAGCCAGCTGAAGTCATGCGGACTGCAAGGATCAGGGCCGCGGGGGCCTCCACTGCTGCTGTCAAATTGCAATTGGAAACAGCTTTTCCAAAGTACGGCATGAGAAATCAGGAATTCCTGTCCACAGCTCTGCAACCCGCTGGGTTTTTAATCAGGCTTGGTACAACCCATTAGAGATCAGAAATACGAAAATCATGATGAAACCAAACAAGAGTATCTTCTGGTTTCCAAGTTTTGTTCTGCCTGGATCCCTTCCAAGCCTGAAATGATTGTCACTCACCAGTTAATAAGGGAACAGTTCCTGCCTAGGGACAGGAGCGCCAGGAAGGCTGGACCCAAAGGTAGGACAGGCTCAGTTCAGTGACCTTCCTTCTGTCTAATTCCTGGATGTGCAAACTAACTGCTCAAATTCTTAACCTTATCTCAGTGACTCCAACTGCATCCATCATTTAGGGATAAAGTAACTTTTGCAGAGATTACAGAAAAGCTATTTAGAATATTAATAAACTAGAACTGTTCAATGAAAGTTTTTTTTTTTTTTTGGCACTACAACTTTGAAGGGAAGAATCTACTCTTGGGAAAGCAAGCTCAAGTCAGTAATTTAGTTTAAAAAATTAAAAACTTTCAGGATTTGGTTTGAGATTAATCCAGATACAGCCCAATTTCCCACACCTCTGTCTGGATCTAGAAGCTAAGAAAAGGTGGAAAATCCAGAGGTCAGTTATTGTGATGTCCCTTTCATTTGTCAACTTTTCAATGACCTTTGAGACACAATCACTAAGGTAGGAAAACTAATTAATCAGAGAGTTGTTAAAAAATGACCTTATCAGATAAATTACCAGCATACGTGTTACACACAAGTCACTCATTCTGATCGTGATACAATGCTGTGTTACATGTGGGTTAGATAACACCCAAAAGTGGGCTGGCGGTAGTGTTCACCTTGAAAGATTGATTCTTAATTAAAATTCCCTCACATGAATGATTTCTAGATAAGGAAGAAGCTGTGATCTGATTTTTTTTTTCTTTTACTTGCCTAAGAGGTTCCAGTCAAATTCCATCAATTCAATGAAATTTCCCCTGGTCCCCATGAGTCAGCTAATTTCTCTTTTGTCGTCCACAGCAAGTTTCTGGGCCCTCCCTTCAGCACAGAACACTCTGTGCAATATAGGTAGTTGCTAGTAGGTGAATATCAGATGCTGGGCTGTTTTCCCAAATGCAGTGATTATGTCTTATTTATTTCTGAAGCCCTCCTCTTCCCTGTTTTGGAATTAAAACCTAGAACTGAATTCAAAACAAAACAAAACAAACAAAAAACCTTCTATTGTTTAAAATGTAGTATTAATTTGTTACAGACGAAGATGTTTTCATAAAAAAAGGATAGCAAAATGATGGACAAAATGTCAGAGAGGAGACGAAAGCGCAAGGGGCAGCACTACATGCAAACTGGATGCTCAGCAAAGGTAACCTAATGCTCTGAAACAGCACCGACCATCACCATAAAGCTTGTCCCAAACTGGAGCAAATTTAGACTTGTTAGGACATTCTTTAAGAAGCAGCCATCAATTTTTGGATAAAAATTTTAAAAAATTGTCTTCTAATAAGAGCAATTTCTTAACAGCACCTTAGAGACCTGCTTAATGAAAAAATCTAGCTATGTTTTGGAGAAATTTTCATTGAGAATGATCAAATCAAGAAAAAACACTTGGTTAACTCTAAATTAACAAGAATATTCCACCATGTAGGCCTCACCTCAATGTGGCAATGAAATCTATTTGTTAAGAGCAATAAGGCTTGGACAGCCCTTACCTTCATGAATATACATCTTTTGAGCATCTTCAGGATGAAGTAACCCCAGTAAACATGAAGGACTTGCAGGATCATGAGGTGTAGGTTGAGGAAGATGTATGAAAAGAAAGGCTCAAGATAGTGTAGAGGCAGAATCAGCGTGCAATACAAAATCCTGAAAACCAAACAGATGAGAGCACTTCATTACAGTCAAAGGACTTGTGAATTTTCAATGAGAACACTCATTTTATTCCCAAGGCATGTAACATTTATTTCATTTCTAAGGCTGTCCAGGAAAGTCTCAAGAGAAAATAAAATATTATCTTTTATATCATTATTGGCAAGCCACACACACACACACACACACACACACACACACACAGTCTGCCTCCTGGGAGAAAAATTAAAGTAAATGGAATTTTCACTGCCACACTGCCTACGCTCCAGTGTTTCTCTACCTCGGTTTCCTCCCCGCAAAGAGAAAGAGCGTGCCCTAGCCCTTCTGGGGCTGCAGAACACGAGACCGTGCACGTGGATGTGGTGTTATTTCTGCCTTTTGACACCATCTCATTTATTTGGCATCAAAAGTGAATGGGAATTCTACAGGAGTACATTTTCCAGACAAAAGAGGCTTTTAAAGAAGCAAACTTTCTATTATTACTTCCACTTTCTAAAGTGAATTGCATAGTTTATTAATGTCACAAACAGACTTCTGGATACAATTTGACCTGCCCTCAGTGGCCAGGATCCACAGTGCCTTCAGCTACAACTGCAGGATGAAGGGCTATCTGTTGTCTCCCCAGACTTCATACACTACTACGATTTTAGGGTTCCTGGATAGGTTTGTTTTAAAGTATATTATCCCAATTATAAAAATAACTTATTCATTTAATAGGGAAAGTAAGAAAGTTGCTCATGAAACCACCATTTTAAACAAATAATACTGCAATTTTTGTGTATTATCTTCTAGTTTTTTCATACATATATTTATTTTATGTTTAAAATTAAATGTCTAGTAAAA